AACTGAACCTAGAACTGATAATAATGTAAAAATGAAAAATAATTCTCGTGATTTCAATTGAATTCTTTGTTAGCATGAACGAGCAGACAAAAGTTGTAATTTCAACTAAATGTAATTAATTGTGCAAATTATCTATTCCAAGAATTTCTAAAAAGAAATAATCTTTAAGTAATACGAAAATTCCGTTTCAACATTTGTTCTAACTCAAGGTAAACGTCACGATTTGGAATGATTTAAAAAGCAAATCACACTTAGCACGACAGAAATCTTCAGCAAATGTCACGAAATCACATTCTGCATCCGGGTTCGAATCCACCACTCATTTCTTTTATTTTTTGTTATCGTGCTTTTCCCTAAAATGCATCTCCGGATTGGTGGATAAGTACTCTCCGTGCTCCAATGAGAGCTCACGATTTTCGTGCGCACGCTCTTATTGTGTATAATATTTGACTGTCTTAAGTCTTGGCGGCAAGTGAGAAATGCCACGCGAGAGTGAGGGAGTAAAATGATGACCTTCCTGATGATCTTAAGGTCACTTGATAGTCGACTAGTGAACGGGGCACCCCCTACTCGTGAAGCGTGCCGCAGCACCTTAACCTTTGAGGTTAGGGTGGCACGGAAGGGCGCAACCTGTGACTTGCTTCATTCTATCACTACTTTTTATTGCTTTGTTTTGTAGTTTGATTACTTTTGGAAAATTATTTTGGAGAAATAATGTTTTAAAACATTTCTTTTCAGAGAATCGGAGCCTTATAGTTCATTTTTATTCATTTATTTATGCGTTAATATTTTTGAATTTTTTTTTTTAATGATTACATAATGTTAGTTAAAACATTCCCTTACATTTTCTTTCTTCCTTTCCCTTACATTCCATTATCTTTTCGCTAATTTTCAAAAATAACATTTTTGATTGCGAAAAAAGCTACAAAAAAAAAAAGAAAAAGAAAAAAATCGAATTAGCATTGTAGCAGCATAGGGCAACCACGAATTTATTTCAATGACAACTGCTTTTTTGCCTCGTGTTTTGACTTTAAAAAGTGAATATGGGTATTAATTATCAATATTACAAGAAAATACACAGCTCGACTATAAAATACTTTACCAAAAATGATTCTAAAATGGTAATACCTTAATCACATATTTTCGAAATTTACATACTGTTCATATAGTATGTAATCAGCATTGTGTTCTTTTTTGTTTGATTAATGGGTGCAGCATCCAAAGAAACTAATTTTAAAATTAAATTTAAACGGATCTGTGTATCACATATATTTACTTTGATACAAACTAGTTATGCCCAAAAAAATACTTCAGAAATTTTTATGCGTTCAAACTGTTAAAATTTCTTTTTAAATGCGTTCCTTCCTAGTTCTGAGGTGATCCAAAAAATAATAATGATTAGCAGCTTTTTTGAAAAGAAATATGTTAATACATTACTTATAGATAATCTAGTATTACTCTAGGCTCACTATCAGTTATCCCTATTAAGTGTCTGAAAGATTCATATATTCATATTTAAATACGTTTTATTCTAAAATAAACTATATTTGATTGTTTGTAAGAGAGAAAATTTCAATTGCATTGAATTTATTGAACACAATTTTCGGCTTAGATACCAATATTCTGAAGCGGCTATGCTGCGTGAAATGACATTATGAATTTTATTTTACTTTATAACCGTCGTTGAACAGCCAACTCATTTTGTTTTAATTTACGATTACTAATGTTCAAATCTGTAGGCTTGTAATTTTGAATCTAATTCAGAAGGTAATGGAATTTCTAGATCAAGTATTGGGAGAAAGTTCCCTTTGTGGAGGACTTTTTGGTTGAACTTACCAGCATTTGCGTTAGATGGAGAGGCAAAGCACGAAAACCTACCACGGTTAGCCTGAGTGCAAGGGGACTCTAACTCATCATAGGTCTATCACTTCGGATATTTTACGTCAGTACAGTGGTCGGTGCAAGACGGATGCGGAATTCGTATCGACCAGCAATCGCTAGGATTTTAACCCGGTTCAGCTCTTGGAAGGCAAATGCTCAATTCCCTGAGTCATCACGACTCGACATTATGTATTTTAATTTATTTCATAACCGTCGTTGAACAGCCGACCGATTTATTTGAGTTTACGACTACTAATGCTCAACTCCGTAGCATTGTAATTTTGAATCCAATACAAAAGAGATAGGGAACTCCAGGACCAAGTATTGGGAAAAATTTGTCTTCGTGGAGGATTTTTTGATGGAATTAACCCGTGTTTGCGTTACATGGGGAGGAAAACCACGGAAACATCCCACTGTTAGCCTAACGGCAAGGGGATCTAACCCATGATCCGTCTACCACTGAGGATACTAACGTCAGCACTGTAGTCGGTGCAAGTCGGTTGGGGAATAGTATCGACTTGCCATCGCTGGAATTCGAACCCGGTTCACCTCATTGGAAAGCGAACGCTCTATCCCCTGAGCCATCGCTTCTCGACATTATTAAAGATTGTATTAAAGATTGCAAAAGCAAATAGCTGACACTATAGTTATAAAATGAAGATCGGGAAGGCGTCTCGAAGTCATGGAACTTTTATATAAGCCAAGAAATGAAATCCTCCTGAGGACTCAGTTGGATAAGACATTTTTTTTTTTTGGTATTGCCCTTTTTTAATATTATTTTTGCTTTTCTTATAAGTATTCAAATAGGTTCTTTCAAAATATTAATTTACTCAAATATTGAATAATTATTTTGAAATGTCATGTCCTCTATTAAATTTTGCCTTTCTTTCCTTTTTTTTTTTGCTGCTTCATTTGAAATTGAGATTGCATTGGTTAATATTTATTTACTAATTTCCATTTATTAATAATATTGAATTTATTAATTTTAATTTGTTAATATTGCAGAATTTCTATTGTATGGTTGCACAAAGAAATTTATTTAAACGAAGAAATTTGACAGAGCTTTAACGAGATAAATATAAAAGAATGCTGAACTATTTGTTTGAGCGAAAAAGAAAACTCGATAAGGAAATGAATGGAGCTTATATGAGAACTGAAAAAGGGTTGTTGTCCAACGTTGATTTTAGATCTGAAACCTCATGATTAAAAGATACTTACTTCACCACGAGTTTATTATTACTCTGTTAGCTACGTATTTTTCTCTTTTTGTTCAGTATAAGCGTTTTTAAAAATAATTTCGACCATCCAAATGGCTTTAAAAAAATTAGCCTTATGGGAAACATTTCTTTTTCTTTTTTTTGCTTTCTGTTGCATGAGATTTTCAACATAGTTTTTAAATACTTTTGTAGCGTTGATTTGAGATCTCCAATCGGTTTCTCTCTCCAAGCTCTAGTTTCTTTTTTTTATTGACAGTTTTAATCTATTTTTTGTCGAAATAAAGAAGACGTCATATAAGGTAAGCCGAATGGATTGTCACTAACATAGAAGTTTTAGATTTGGTGACGTTTATGCACATTTCCATTCTGTTAATTTGCCACTAATTTTTAAGTGTTTTGATGCAAATCAGATTTTTAAAGTATTTATCAATTATTCCGTTTCCCTCTTAAAATTAGTTTCATAAAGCGGTGATTGTTTTTAAATTTTCTTGAAATGGAAAAAAATCAAAATACCTAATGTTGTTTTATTCTGATGTATTCAAAAACAGATATGTATTTAAGTTATTTAACTACTGTAGTTAGTTAAATGAATGCAAAATTTAGTGGATTCGAAGCATAAAATTTTTAGGCACTCCATTTAGTAAAATCAAGCAAAGAAAAGATCACTAGGATATGGCTGTCTCCTTCATCACATGTAAGCTTGCAGAAATCCCTTGAGAGATCAGTGAGGTGTATATTAGTGTGATGCATTTTACAGTTACTAAATACTATGTATCGACCTTACATAAAGACTACTGGTCTAATTTTGTGATTCCAATTTTTCCATTTTTCTCTGGCCCTAAAAGATAATCTAAGGCATTTCTATAATGATTACTGGCGCAATCAGCGTCTGTCATCTGGATCTACATAGATTGCAACTGTTCTTGATACATCACTAATGTATCATGACTTCTGCCTAACACCCTTTTCAACATGATGATACCCAAACAAGTTTAATGCGCCTATAAGTTTATGCGCCAAGCTGCTCGACCTTCCCATGTTTTCCCCATTAAAGCTCGCAAGCGTTCACATATTCAAATATTTGCTATTTTTGATTCACCATCACAATCGGTAGACTACCTGCTTATTTCACCTTAGACTGTTTCACCATATAACTTTTATTCTCTATTTCGTAAATCTAATAAATCACTTGTATCTCCAACCATATTCCAACAACTTTTCTTTTCTCATCGTCATCAGTTTCTTATTATGTCCCGATCTACACAGATGGCTCAAAATCTCCCGGATATATTGTGTGTGCTGTCATCATTGCTGACGTCACGTACAGCTACCAAATTCCCGAGATTTGCTTCGTCTTCACTGCTAAAGCTGTTTCTATCCTACTGGCACTACGACTAATCTCCTCACGCTTTACTCGGAAGTATTGCATGTACTTCGATAGTATGAACGGTTTGAGCCAATCAGAAACTGTTACACATTTCACTGTGATGCTTATTCAATTTTATGTTTCATTATTTATTTCGTAATCACTCTTTAGAATAATGGCTTTCTGATTTTATTCTTCAGGGTACCGAGTCATGTTGGTATTCCAGGGAATGATCTAGCTTACTCAGCTACATGATCTGACACATCTGTTTTATCTTTCTCCATACCTGTCTCTGGCAGGAAATTTATTTGTGACATAATTATGGCAAAAACCGTGGGATCTCAACGTTTTTAATTAATTGCATAGCTTCAAATCAGATTTCGCCCCTTTCAGATTGCATAATCAGTTCATAATAAAGTATAATATTACTATATCTTTATTAACAAAAATATTGATATTATTTCATGATTGGCATAAGTAGGATTCTAACTACAGTGCATTTCATTTTAAAGTATCCAAGTTTAAAATAACACTGTCTAATCTAATATAAACATTGAAATGATTCAGTAGATTCAAATGTCAGATGAAGCTGAAAATAGACAATTGGTTGATGCAATAGTTGAATTTTTAAGGGGTGAGCTTAACAGCAGGGATGACTTGACTTCTGAAGACAGAGATAGCTTGGATATTGCAATAGAGTGTCTAGAAATAGCTTACGGATTAGAAAGTCACAACCCCAGAAATCGAAGAGTTCGTCGACCGCTAATTGACGTGTTTAATCAAATTATTCACCCACCCACAGTTAAAGATCGACTGCAGGCTGAACGGTTGAAGAATGAAGGCAATGAGAAAATGGCTGAACACCATTACGCAGAAGCCGTTGCAGCTTACACACAAGCGATTGAACTTGATAAATGGAATGCAATATACTTCTGCAATCGTGCTGGAGCAAACATAGCTTTGCAGAATTACCACGATGCAATCGAGGATTGCAAGGAGGCGTTGGCTCTAAATCCAGATTATGCTAAGGCCTTTGGTAGAATGGGTCAAGCTTACGCTATGATGGAACAACCGAGGAAAGCTTTAAGGTGCTTTCAACAAGCCGTACAATTAGAGCCAGACAATGAAAGATATTTGCACAATCTGAGAACAGCAGAAAGTCAAGCTGCCACCATTCCCCCAAGAACTCAAATGTCTCAAAATATTTTAAATTCGTTTCTGGTTACCCCAAATCATCAGCCTTCAAGTGGTACTCTTACGATCATTACCGAGATAGCACAAACAAATAGCGATAATTCCTCTACAGAAACGCATCAACACAACGAAACTCTTCAATCTGATTTGTGTGGCGAAGCACAAGCAGAGTCAGAAACGCAGCCAAATAATTCCCAGACGCAGAATATATTGCATCTTGCGCTACCACTTATATTGGGTATTTTGGGACATTTAAGTGAAGATTCCTCTAATGAAAATGAAAATATCGAAAGAAGGTCGGAGGAAAATTTCCGACAAATGAATCCAGAAACTCGTCTCTTTAGCTTTGCTCCACCTAGCGAGACAAATGAAAATAATGCCAATACATTAGAAACATCCAATTTTGATTCTAGCTACTGCAATAGTGTTGGCGCAGATGTCCAAGCGACTAATAACAGTGAGATTATTAAACAGGAATCTGAAACAGAAAAGCCTAATTTTTACCATTTTCCATCAATTGGGAAAAACGAAACTGAAATGGTTGAAAAAATGGAAAGTCCGGGATTAAAAGCAACTCAGTCTGGTACTAACATTGAAAAACATGAACAGAAATCTAAAAATGCATCTGATGTAAATAGACTAGAAAATACTGGAATCACAGATTTAGAAGATAGTTTACAAATAGACTCTGATGCATCAATTGAAACGACTGGTGCAAATGCGACAAGTGTCGCTAACTCTGAAGTGCACACGCATTCAGACACGCCAACTCAGAAAAATGGAATATAAATGTGCGCTTCATGCAACATAGAGTCTTGTTTAGAATAATTTGGAGTCTAGTTTTACATTAGAGATCTGCATTTTAAAATAAATTTTAAATGGGTGCACTCTCCTTTAAAAAACCACTATCCTTACTTTATAATTATAAATTTTTAAAATTATTTTATACTTATTTTTTGAGTAATAGTGACAGTACTATTTTAACGTAGTACTATATGCAGATGAGCTGCACACTGAGCTATTGGCGTAGGTCTGAGAAATATCCCTGAGAATGATCTGAAGACATGCCGTCACAATTTTAATCCTCGGTAGATGGTTTCCCGTCTTGCTATTCTAATTACCTGCGCGAAGTCCCGCACTTAGGGTAGGAACTGTTCAACGAGGACCAATATCGCACTTTCTCGGTATCTAACGCACCTACACGGGCTGATCGAAATGGTCAACCACCCGCTCACTGACGGCAACCATTGATACTTGATTTTAGTGGTCTACTGGGAACCGTGACTTTATGATCAGTTCAATGTGGGTTCTTCTTATTTTAAACACTTTGCATTTTGTTTAGTTTATAGTTATGAAAAAAAATCTTCTGGGAAATTTTAAATTTAGAAAAAATGCAACCAATATTATACAAATAATAAATTTACTATACTTTTTAACGTACATCTCCGCTTAGAGGGGGCCATAGAAAAAACTTTGAAATCAGAATCTATATCACATACCTCTATCATTTGTCTCTATTAGCGTATGAGATGCCGGTTAATGTGTAGAATCGAGGGCCCCTTGGTTTGGCGATAAATTTTAATTCTAAAATTTTGCTGAAACTGAGATTCAAGGTTACCATGATATTCTTTTTTTGCTGTCTCTACTTTAAATGACGCCAGCATCAAGTTACCACAATTTCTATTCACCGTTATATGATTGGTTCATGGTTTATTATCATAGGCATGTTTTCAAATCGAAAAATAGTGCCCCCGATTCTGCACTTTAACCAAGGAACTTATTACCACAGCACCTATTATTAATTCTCAAAATGCCCGTTGTACAGCAATACTGGTGTCAATAATAGTATGGTAATTTTCCACTGCTCTTCTTAATGGAAAAGTACCAAAAATATGAAGTAAAAGTATTACCAAATATTTGAAAAAAAATTTGTACTTGCTTGCTATTATTCGGTTCTTGCTTTCTATAAATTTAACTAGAAAAATGCATTTTAAACAATTCTGCAACCCATTTTCACTTAGAAGGGTAAATTTAGTATGCAATGCAAGGCACTATTCAAATAACACAGTTAAATTTAAAAAGTACATACTTTTTTACAGTTTGTTTACAAAATGTCGTCATTAATAAACTAAATGGAAAATCCTGATAAAGAATGACGAATTATTTTCTTTTTATCTTTCACAATTATTTTATCAAATAATAGCGACAGTTTTAGATGCTTGGTCTTGTAAACAGTAAGATTTTTCAAGCAACTGTCATTATTTCCCTTTTTTCTTAGAAATGGCGTCAAAGGGGAAAAAATGGTACCATCAAATTTAATATGGTTTGGCAGTTTCAGATCAGTTGTAAAAATAAGTGGAAAAAAATATATAAACCTACAAAATAGTAAAAGGATCACATTAAATTGAATTTCACAGGACCTTTAAACAATATTAGTGTTAATATCTGAAACTGAAAGAACTGTGTAATTTTTGTAAAAAATCATGTTAATTATACTATTATTAAAATGCGGTGATTAATGTTAAACTGTGTCAATAAATCTTGCAGTAGTTAAACCTCCGAAGATATAATTAATAGATTAGCATTTCTACATCAGTATTTTCTGAATATTATACAACTATTATACAAGTAAAAGTTCGGTTACTATTCAATGAAATTTTATTTAGTTCGGTAAGCATTTTATTAATTACAAGTGTAACAATTATTTTTCTACTTCAAATTTTGCGTAAGTTTAGATTTACAGTATCTTTTATTTAGTTGGCATTATTTTTTTTAATTCTTTTTTTTCACTTTGAGTTTCATAAATGTCTTGTAATTTGAGTAATATTTCTAGAAAGCACTCTAGGCTCATACGTAAATTGGTTGAATTTCGAAAAAATACGATAAATTGCATAAAACTGTCAAACTAATATGAATTAGTGACCAAGGTTTTTATGATTATGCTGCCAAAGGTTTAACACAGTAAAATTTCTTCCGCAAATTTTGTCGTGTGTTCATAAATATTATACTCATTATACTCATAAATATTTCGTATTCATTTACTTATTTTCTTCATAATTTCGTTTTCATTTTCAGGGCTATAAAATAAAACTCAAAATTTTTAAATAAACAAAACAAAACATATCGAATTTGTACATTTTTGATCAGAGTATTACAATATTTCTACGAAAAAGTCTGCTATTTCTTCCAAAGGAAAAACTGCTCTACCCACGGGCATCATCCTCTATTTTTTTTTAATAATTTAGCTTTTTTAAAAAAAATAATACTCAGGTACGATTAAAACCTGTTATCAGGTTTTTTAAAAAGAAAGAAAGAAAAGAAAGTAAGACAGAAAGAAGGTAAAAAAAAGGTGTTTAAAACAAAAGGGTTAAGAATCTGAGCATATATTTCGTTCAATACTTTAACATTTGTACTAGAGTAGTTTAGCACATTTATAAAATTATGATAAGGTTCAAAATTCTTTTGGCAATAGTTTAGCTCAATTGCTGAATTCAATTTTTTTTTCTCTTCATCTGAATTTTACAGTTATCTACATTAGAAAGACTGAATACTCGCTGCTATTAGCTGGAAAGAATAATGCTTGCAAACAAGTTTTATTAACTCCCATCAAAAGCTAAAAAACAAAAGAAGAGCCAAAATTTGAACCAAAATCTACGAGACATGTTTTTTTTTCTTCGTTTTCCTTATCTAAATTATTTTTCTCTTTCTTTTTTAGACAAACCAGCAGAAGTGAGCCCCGATGGCTCAGGGGAGAGAGCATTCACTTTCCAATGAGGTGAACCGGGATTCGATCCCGGCGATTGCTGGTTGATACGAATTCCGCATCCGGCTTGCACCGACCACAGTGCCGACGTGAAATATCCTCAGTGGTAGACGGATCATGGGTTCGAGTCCCCTCGCCGTCAGGGTAACAGTGGGAGGTTCTCGTGGTCTTCCTCTACATGTAATGCAAATGCGGGTTAGTTCCATCAAAAAGTCCTCCGTGAAGGCAAATTTCTCCTAATACTTGATCCAGCCGTTCCCTTGTCTTCTGGATTTGGTCCAAAATTACAAGGCTACGGAGTTGAACGCTTGTTGTCGTAAACCCATAAATTGGATCGACTGTTCATCGATGGTTATAAAACTAAAACCACCAGAAGTGTCAAATCACCAGCTAATTTTATCTGTCTTATGACCCCTACTTATATTTTACTGAAAAGATTGCAAATCCCATTATTCCAAAATTTCTGTGTTATTAAAGAGCTACATTTCTGTTCCTTTTGTTCATCAACTCCCACGATTGTTCTGCGGTGATGTCCCAATTCAAGCATTCCCAGTTCAGACATTAGAGGGAATCTATCTTGCTTAAGGCGGCAGTGAGGAGAGGACTCTTTCACTATTTCCGTTTGAGCCAACTGATATGGTGACTTCATATTTGGCGATACAAATTAATTTGGCTTCCAAATAAATTTTAAAATTCAATTTATATATCAAATACAACAAAGCTTAAAATTTGATATCAAAAGAATTTTTTGCAGTTGCTGATGGATTATGGATATTATCAATGTATTAGATGCGGAAAATCTCTGTAATAATGTTTTAATTTTTTTTTAAACGATTAAAGGAGATTACCGTCCAATATACATTTGCCTACTATCCCCTACAATAATGTTTTTTTTATATTTTTAAATTAAGATTAAAGGCCATTTCCCGGTACTCAGTTGTCTGGTCTTATTTCCTAAACTGATGTTCATTTAAGTTTAAGTGTCACTGTGCGGTATGAATTTGCCACTATCATGCATAAGGATCCTCATAAATTCGCCACTAAGGTTTCTTATAGATTTAAACGCCACTGCTCTATATACACTAAATAAATATTCCCTAACACACTCATGCCACTGGTCCTGGGTTCGAACCTCGGACCAGGCATGGTTGACTCAGACTTTCATCCCTTTAGCGGCTCGATGAAATGAGCATTCTTTGTGGCTAAATGCTGGGGGTGATTTCACTTTCTGCTCCTGCACCAGAGCCCAAGGTCAAGAAAAATGAGATGGGCACTGTAGGCATTAACCCTCTTTTTTTTGTCGCGTCACTGAGTTTTGAGTATACTCAACACTGATGTTTTTTCACAAAGTAATTTTAATGCAACTGCCCGGAATTCCCTGTACAAATTTCAATTAAGATTAATTGCCATTTTCCTACAGTGTTTTTTTTTAAGGATAAAGTTCTATTGCAAGGTATACACTTGACACGTATTCCCTATACTAATGTCTTTCCTGATATGCCATAATCGAGCATTTGCTATTATATAATGGGTGTACAAATTAGTTCGGTCCGTTTTTTGTGATCAAAAATGCATTTATTTCAGAACAAAATGAATACATTATTTAAAGTATTGTCCATCGCTGTTCACTACTTTTTCCCACTCAGGCAATTTTCGAATTCCATCTCGAAAAAATGTCTTGTCTTTTGAGGCGATCCAAGTTAGGAGCCAATTTTCGATTTCTGTGAAAGAAGTGAACTGGTGATCTGCCAAATCATGCTGCATCCCTCGGAACAACCACTAATCAGAAGGAGATATGTCCAGCGAATACAGTGTGCGCTGTGAAATATCCCACTTGAGCGTTTCCCAATAATTTTTTACGACTTTTGCGACATCAGGCTGATCGCTATTAGGCCAAAGAATAACTTTGTCATGTCTTTGCTCGTATCTTTGCTTCCGGGCGTTTTTCTCATAATGCACTGCTCAAACGAATCAATTGTAGCCAATACCAACCACCCGTAATGGAATCACCGGGATGTAGCAGCTCATAGTATACAAAACTATTCACCATTCACCATTCTTCATTCACCTTTCTTGTAAGGTCGAGACCATTCCCTACATGATTTATCA